AAAGAAAAAAACCCACTGTCAAGAAAGAAACAAAACCAGACTCAACCTAGTGGCCTTTTTAAAAATCAGGATCTGCTACTGGCAAATAGAGGATATATGCTTGCACACACACAGGGGAGAGGGGAGAGCCAGAAGGACAGAGGCAAGAGAAGCTAGCACATACCCCTCTACTCCATTCAGATCCTGATAAAAAACAAAATCTAGCCACGAAAAAAAAAACATTTTTTAGTATATTATAGAGTCAGTACATGAAACAATAAAGCTACAACTAAAATTATGAATACTATGATTCTCATCAAACTACTAAGTAACTTTCATTGTCAGACATGCAAAAAACCATCTGCTTATAAATTTTCATGGTTTTTTAAGAGTAGGCATGTTTCTTGTTCTATGCTTTCTAGGTTTTTGAAGAGCACATTTAAAACCATACTGGAATAGAACTTGGGGTAGACAAAATGAAACATTTCTAAGGTATAAAGGAAAACATTTAAAGATACAATAGTCTTGAAATAATTAGTATCCCTAATAAACAACTATGTTTACAGAGAAGAGAGAAAAAGACGAAGCCCAACAGAAAGAGGCAAAAGGCATAAGCCAGAAATACAGTAAAGAGGCTGGGCTTGGTGGCTCACACCTATAATCCCAGCACTTTGGGAGGCCAAGGCGGGCAGATCACTTGAGGTCAGGAGTTCGAGACCAGCCTGGTCAACATGGTGAAACCCCATCTCTGCTAAAACCACAAAAATTAGCAAGGTGTGGTGGTGCACACCTGTAATTCCAGCTACTTGGGAGGCTGAGGCAGGAGAATCGCCTGGACCTGGGAAGTGAAGGCTGCAATGAGCCGAGATCATGCCACTGCACTCTAGCCTGGGCAACAGAGCAGACTCCATCTCAAAAAAAAAAGAAAGAAATACAGTGAAGAAACACAAATGAAGATTGATGGGATCCAAGGTTGTTAGGCATGTACTCCTCACTAATTATTAAGTGGAGATGTAAACTGGTACAAGCAGTACTCCAGCAACTTAACAACAAAAAGAATCCAGGCACTATTCACACTCAAAGGAAGCCTCCTTTCTTGCTACATTTCTGTTACCTCCCTATTCATCTTATTTTCAAACCAAATCAGTTATGTTTTTATCTGTATCACTCACTTTCCTGTCTCTGCACTACCAAAATACCTTTCAACCAATTCCCCTGCAAAATTCCTTTTTTTTTTTTTAAGACAGAGTCTCAATTTGTTGCCCAGGCTGGAGGGCAGTGGCGCAATCTTGGCTCACTGCAACCTCCGCCTCCCAGGTTGAAGCGATGCTTGTGCCTCAGTCTCCTGAGTAGCCGGGACTACAGGCATGCGCCACCAAGCCCAGCTAATTTTTTGATATTTTTAGTAGAGATAGGGTTTCACCAAGCTGTCTTAAACCCCTGACCTCAAGTGGTCCACCCGCCTCGGCTTCCCAAAGTGCTGGGCCACCGCACTCTGCCCCCTGCAAAATTCTATCTTTCAAGACCTAGATCAAATACTTCTTGCCCTACTCTTTCCTATATAGAATTGACATTCCATCTGTGATCACACAGTACTTGATCCAATCCTCTAATATGACAGTTAAAACAGTCATACTAATCAGAAGTTATATCACAGACATGTTAGTTCATAACATATGAGTATCATATTTGTATATAACAATATATAGAGAAGCTTCTACATATCAATAACAACAAAAAATTAGAATAGGACATGAACAGAAAATTCACAGTAAAGAAAATATAAATGGGCCAGGTGCGGTGGCTCACGCCTGTAATCCCAGCACTCTGGGAGTCCAAGGCAGGCAGATCACCTGAGGTCAGGAGTTCAAGACCAGCCTGATCAACATGGTGAAACCCCATCTCTACTAAAAACACAAAGAAAAAAATTAGCCGGGCCTTGTGGCACATGCCTGTAATCCCAGCTACTCGGGAGGCTGAGGCAGGAGAATCGCTTGAACCTGGGAGGCAGAGGTTGCGATGAGCCGAGATTGCACCACTGCACTCCAGCCTGGGTGACAAGAGCAAAACTTCGTCTCAAAAAAAAAAATAAAAAAAAAAAGTGGCTCTTAAACATATGAAGAGGTATACAACCTCATTAATAATAAAAGAAATATAAATATAATGATGCTATTTATTACCTATCAAATTGTCAAAGATAAAAAAATTTGACTATACTATACATGGGAAAATTGGCAGTCCAATAATACTTGCTGGTAAAAATACTGGCAAGGTTTCTATGAAGGCAATTTGGTATTACCTATCAAAATTATAAATACACACATCTTTTGACCCAATGATTCTATTTCTCAGAGTTAATGCTACAGACATATTCATTATATTTGACAGGATCTATATGCATGATTATTCACTTGCATGATCACTTGTAATAGAAAAAGATTGCAAAGAAAAATGTGCATCAATAGGGGAATAGTTACATAAATTATGCACTACTACATTTCAGACAATGAAATGCAGTTTAAATGACTACACAGCTCCACATGAAACTATTTCCATGATATATTGCTAACTTAAATGCAGGAGGCCCGGGTGCGGTGGCTCACACCTGTAATCCTAGCACTTTGGGAGGCCAAGGCAGGTGGATCACGAGGTCAGGAGTTTGAGACCAGCCTGGCCAACAAAGTGAAACCCCGTCTCTACTAAAAGTACAAAAACTTAGCTTGGCGTGGTGGCAGGCGCCTATAATCCCAGCTACTTAGGAGGCTGAGGCAGGAGAATCGCTTGAACCCGGGAGGTGGAGGTTGCAGTCAGCCAAGATCGCACCACTGCACTCCAGCCCAGGCAACAATGTGAGAATCCGTCTCAAAAAAAAAAAAAAAAAAGCAGGCAATATGCAAAACAGGGTGTAGAGTACACTACCATTTATGTAAAAAACAAATAATATATTCATGTACTTATATATGCACAGACCATTACAAATGGCTAAAGGACGGGGTGGGAAGAAGACCAACTTTTCATACATACTATGCTTACCATGAATATCTTCTATCTTTTACCATGAATTATCTTTTATCTACTCAGTTAACTAACTCATTTTAATTAATTCATTTAAAACAAAAAGCAATTGTTTATGTTGCTGTCAGTTCACTGTGAAAATCTCAAAGACAGAGAAACAGAATGTGTGCCTTGTTCATCTTCATATCATCATTTTGCACAGTGCCAGGCCTACGGCAGATGATCAACAAAGTATGCTAAATAAGAGGCAACTGAGGCACAGTTGCCTGATATTAAATTAAGTTTACAGAAATAAGAATATATTAAGCAAAAATTTACAGTCAGCAAAAACTTTCCACCCTTTAGTTTTCATTTTGGGTATCCCATAACCTAAGGACTGTATTCTAACAAATTTCATCATAAAGTAAGATCTTTGTACATGGAACTCTATTTGCTTTGCAGACCCTATCCTCCAGAGCCAATGATTCTATTATTATATACTAATCATGAAGAGTGTGATAGTTCTAAAGTCAGAAAATTTAGGCAGACATCCTTCCTCAAACACATTCCAGTTGTGTAACTTTCAACGTATTACTTAAGCTCTGGGCTTCCATTCCTTCATCCGTGAAACACTTACAATAGTATCTACGCTTCACAGGGTGTTGTGAAATTTAAATGAATATATGCTATGTGCTCTGTATAGTGCCTAGCACAAAGGAAGCATTCTATAAATTTTAACTATTATTATCTAGAGCTTTTTGTAAAGAAACCAGTTCCTGCTCTTGGAAATACAAAGTTGAGAGAACACATTTCATTCCTTTACATATATCTTATCTTATTTTATTTCTGAGACAGAGTCTCCTCTGTTGCCCAGACTAGAGTGCGGTAGTGCGATCTCAGCTCACTACAACCTCTGCCTCCCAGGTTCAAGTGATTCTCCTATCTCAGCCTCCCAAGTAGCAGGGATTACAGGCACACACCACTATGTGCAGCTAATTTTGTTTTTTGTTTTTTGTTTTGAGATGGAGTCTCACTTTGTCGCCCAGGCTGGAGCACAGTGGTGCGATCTCGGCTTACCGCAACCTCTGCTGCCTAGGTTCAAGCGATTCTCCCACCTCAGCCTCCCGAGTAGCTGGGATTACAGGTGCCTGCCAACTCACCCGGCCAATTTTTGTAGTTTCAGCAGAGATAGGGTTTCACCATCTTGACCCAGCTGGTCTTGAACTCCCAACCTTGTGATCCACCCGCCTCGGCCTCCCAAAGTGCCGGGATTACAGGCGTGAGCCACAGTGCCCGTTAATTTTGTATTTTTAGTAGAGACGGGGTTTCACCATGTTGGCTAGGCTGGTCTCGAACTCCTGAGCTCAAGTGATCTGCCTGCCTTGGCCTACCAAAGTGCTGGGATTATAGATGTGAGCCACCGTGCCAAGTCAAAATAATATCAATTTATACCCAATATATATACTATGCAAATCTGAAATCTTACTATGTAATCATAGTACGGATAATCCTCTAATACATGATGTAAAAAAAGTGCCTAAAAGGAAAAAATGTAATTTAAAGAACAGAAAGAAACAGACACAGAGAGAACACCTTAATTAAAATTCATTAATTGCAACAGACAGTGGGTTCTGTTCTAAAAAGGCAGTGAAAGCATACAGGAAAAAGCTTTGGTTCTGGAATAAACTCCATGGATTCAAATCCTAGCTCTAAAATTTAGTAGCTCTCTGACCTTGGGCTAGTTATATAACCTACCAGTGCCTCGATTTTCTTCTCTGTAAAATGTGCATAATAACAATAGCTTCCTCATAAGGTTGCTGTTGGGAATAAGTTAGTTATTGAACATCAGTGTTCAATAAACGTTAAGTATTATTATGTCTTATATTTCCTTCAGGACTATAAGGTTGACAAAGCAGAAATAATAAACTTTTACGACTATATGTCCTTGTAAATCTTTATGGAACTAAACATGCTTTTTTAAAAAATTTAAATAACAAATGAAATAATAACTAAAAAAAAATACTTACTTTGTAGCAGCAGCAAAATGTCTGTTGGGCACTTGAATGTTTACAGAACAAGAACAAACTGATGTCTGATAAACCATCTTGGAAAGGCTATGCCTTTGATGATGTATCAAGGCTTGAAAGGAAAAACACATAAAATATTAACATTAAACAATCATTATATTCATAATTTTTTAATTTTAAAAATCAGTATTTTCAAAATGAAAACATTCAATATTTTGTGGTTCTTAATCCTTCTTTTAAAAGTATAATAGCCAGGCGCGGTGGCTCATGCCTGTAATCCCAGCACTTTAGGAGGGTGAGGCGGGTGGACCACGCGGTTAGGCGATCAAGACCATCCTTGCTAACACGGTGAAACTCCATCTCTACTAAAAATACAAATGATTAGCCGGCGTGGTGGCATGCACCTGCAGTCCCAGCTACTTGGGAGGCTGAGGCAGGAGAATCGTTTGAACCCAGGAGGCAGAGGTTGCAGTGAGCCAATATCGCGCCACTGCACTTCAGCCTGGGCGACAGAGCGATACTCCATCTCAAAAAAAAAAAAAAAAAGTGTAATCGAAACCACAGTTCTTAAAACTAAAAGCAGGTAAATACATCTAATATTTGAACTGTGTTATCTTTTTTTTTTCTTTTAAAGACAGGGTTTCATTCTGTCACCCAGGCTGGAGTACAGTGGCATGAACATAGCTCACTATAACCTTGAACTCCTGGGTTCAAGTGGGCCTCCCTCCTCAGCCTCTCAAGGCTCTGGGGTTTTCATTTAGTTTTAACTTAATCAATTTCATATTCATCAGAGTATGTTAGCTCTATTATTAGCGAATATGTATATGTATCCCGAAATTTCTTAAATAATTTATTTTTTCATTTTTACAATAGATAAGACATTAACACAGTTGCCCAAGTACTTCTGAAAATAAGAACAAAGTGGGGCATTTGAGCTGCGAGAAATAAGAAAAAGGTACACAGGTCTTTGAAGGTATTGGTAATGTTCTATTTTTTTTAAAGCTTAATAGCGAGTATTTAGAATTTCAAGCTATTATTATTCTTTATATCTTACCTATTTTTTTTGCATGTGTAAATACTACAAATATGTTTTTATTTAAAGATTACAAAAGTAAAGTCTTCCTCCTATACCTGGCCCCCAGCTTCTCTCCCATGTTAGCAATACCTTATGTATCTTTTTAGAAACATTAGATACATATATTAACATATAGGTACCAATATATTTTCCTCCTCTTATAAAATGGTAGCATACTCTAATCACTACTCCATCTTGCTTTTTCACCTAAAGGTATTACAGCCTATTTTCACAAACATACACACATATATACATGAGATGTAGATGAGATTTTATGTGTGCCTTTCATAAAGGTGTGTGTACATGCATATATTTGAGAGATCATTTCAAATCAGTTTATAAAGATTTTATTGCCGAGTGTGGTGGCTCATGCCTGGAATCCCAGCGCTTTGGGAGGTCAACGTGGGCAAATCTCTTGACTCCAGGAATTTGAGACCAGCCAGGGCAACATGGTAAAACCCTGTCTCTAAAAAAAAAAAAATACAAAAAATTGGGCCGGGCGTGGTGACGCATACCTGTAATCCCAGCTCTTTGGGAGGCCAAGGCAGGCAGATCAACCTGAACTCAGAGTTTGAGACCAGCCTGACTAACATGGAGAACTCCGTCTCTACTAAAAATACATATTAGCTGGGCTTGGTGGCTACTCAGGAGGCTGAGGCAGGAGAATTGCTTGAACCCAGAGCAGAAGATTGCAGTGAGCTGAGATCACACTATTGCACTCCAGCCTGAGTGAAACTCTGTCTCAAAAAAAAAAAAAAAAAAAACAAAAAAAACCAAAAAATTAGCCAGGCATGGTTGGCACACACCTGCAGGCCCAGCTACTTGGGAGAGGAGGTGGGAGGATCACCTGAGCCAAGGAGGTTGAGGCTACAGTGGAGCTGAGCTGTGGGTTCTCCACTGCATTCCAGCCTGAGCACAGTGAAAATCGTGTCTCAAAAAAAAAAAAAAAAGATTTTATCTTTTAAGGTTGCAAAGTACTCCACTGTGTGGCTATATAATTTACTTAATCAGTGACCAACCATTAGGTCATTTGTAATGTTTTACTATTACAAACAGTGCAAAGTAAATAACCTTATACAAACATCATTTTGCACAAGTATATTTATAGAATTTCTAGAGGTGAATTTGCTGACAAAGGATATAAACATTTGTAATTTTGATAAATACTGCTCATTTAGTAACAGTACTATATACATGTCCCACCAGCAATGAAAAGATCACTTGTTTCCACACACTCGTGCCAATATAGTATTTTTGCATTTATTGCTATATTTGTCTGGGATGCACCATCTCCAAATCTTTCCAAGGCCTACTCCTCTTTTTCTTTTTCAGACAGGGTATTGCTCCTTCACCCAGGCTACAGTCCAGTGACATGATCACAGCTCACTGCAGCCTTGACCTCTACGGCTCAAGCAATCCTCCTGCCTCAGCCTGCTGGGTAGCCAGGACTACAGGTGTGTATCACAAGCCCAGCTAAGTTTTGAGTTTTTTGTAGAGACTGGGTCCCACCCTATTGCCCAGGCTGGTCTCAAACTCCTGAGCTCAAGGGTTCCTCCAGCCTTGGCCTCCCAAAGTGCTGGGATTATAGGCATGAACCACTACGCCCAGCCTACTCCTTTTTATATCAGCTCAAATGTCATTAAAGCTATATGCCAATTTCATCTCTAATCTTCCAAGCTGAAGTACAAGATAATCACCAAAACTGAATTCTGTGAACATATAGGAGTGACACCTGAAGCAGTGTAGGAGACCTATCTGCCACTGAGAATTCTTTGCAGCAAAGCCACAAAGGGCTACAATGGCTAGGAAGAAAAACTGAAACAGACTAACAGGTCTAGTTCCTGTCCTCGAGAATCTCAAATTAAGCAGGCTAGACTGTTATACAACAGTCTAAAAGATGCTCCACATTTTTGAAGAAGCCAGTTATCTTGAAAAATCACATATGGTAAATGAAGGAACAAGCAATTATCCATTCAAAGCTTGGCAAACACTTTCAAACAATTCTAGTTGTACTAAACAAGAACCTAACAACCTTGGAAGATCCCAAAATAATAATTCTCTTGGGGAAACAAAAAAATACCTTGAACATATCAATTGCAATCTGCTATTTTAAAAAATCAAGGACAGCCATGGTGGCTCATGTTTGTAATCCCAGCACTTTGGGAGGCCGAGGCAGGAGGAACCCTTGAGCCGAGGAGCTTGAGCCCAGCCTGGGCAATAGAGTGGAACCTCGTCACTATAAAAAATTTTAAAATTAGCCAGGTGTGGTGGTGCACGGTTGTCGTCCCAGCTACTCAGGAAGCTGAGGTGGGAGGATTGCTTGAGGTGGCAGGATCACCTGAGCCAGGAAAGTTGAGGCTGCAGTGAGTTCTGATCTCACTACTCCACTCCAGCCTGGGTGACAGGTACCCTGTCTCAAAAATACAAAACAGGTTGGGTGCAGTGGCTCACACCTGTAATCCCAGCACTTTGGGAGGCTGAGGCGGGTGGATCACCTGAGGTCAGGAGTTTGAGACCAGCCTGACCAAGATGATGAAACTCCGTCTCTACTAAAAATGCAAAAAAAAAATTAGCCGAGGGTGCTGGTGCATGCCTGTAATCCCAGCTACTTGAGAGGTTGAGGCACAAGAATCGCCTGAACCTGGGTGGCGGAGGTTGCAGTGAGCTGCACCATTGCACTCCAGCCTGGGCAACAAGAGCAAAACTCTGTCTCAAAAAGAAAAAAAATAACCAAACAACAAAAAGCAAGCAAGCAAAACTACTACTATCAGTCACAACAACCAGAAATTACAATTTTCAACAGAAATCAAACGCTATAGACCAAAAGAAACTAAATACCACTATTTAAGCAGCACAGTTAGATCATGATATCTGTATTTTCCATCCTTTTGTAGTCGATTTGTCTAAGTGTATTATTTTATCTCCTTTATTAATACATTTCTCTTCCCCTCATTCTTAGCATATAACCTCACTTGCTACTTCAGAGAAAATGACCCTCAGAACTTCCTGAACTACTGAGCCTCTCTGATCCAGCACTCATTCTCAAAATCTCTCCCACCCCGTGGCAATGAGATAGAAACAACTCCCCCTCCTTATTCTCTTTTAATTGATAGTGAAAGGTTAGAGTTCCCTTGAGGTCAGTCCTAAACTGCCTTCTCACCTGACTCTATAATCCTCACTCTCCCTAGGGAATTGTATCTATCTGTTCTTGCCTTTCTGCTACAACCATCACAGTCCAGGCCACCAACACCTACCATTTGGATTACTGCAACAGCCTCTAAACTGTTCTGTCTTCTACACTTGGCCCTCTCCATTTCTTTTCCACCTATTAGTAAGAGGGATCATTTTAAAATGAAAATTTCATCATGTCCTTAAAACAACTGGATGGCTTCACTTGGCTCTTTGAACAAAGGAAATTTTTTCTTTTTTTTTTTTTTATACTTTAAGTTCTAGGGTACATGTGCACAACGTGCAGGTTTGTTACATATGTATACATGTGCCATGTTGGTGTGCTGAACCCATTAACTCGTCATTTACATTAGGTATATCTCCTAATGCTATCCCCCCCCCCCCCCCCCCCCCCACAATAGGACCCGGTGTGTGAAGTTCCCCTTCCTGTGTCCAAGTGATCTCACTGTTCAATTCCCACCTATGAGTGAGAACTTGCAGTATTTGGTTTTCTGTTCTTGCGATAGTTGGCTGAGAATGATGGTTTCCAGCTGCATCCATGTCCCTACAAAGGACACAAACTCATCTTTTTTTATGGCTGCATAGTATTCCATGGTGTATATGTGCCACATTTTCTTAATCCAGTCTGTCACTGATGGACATTTGGGTTGATTCCAAGTCTTTGTTATTGTGAATAGTGCCACAATAAACATACGTGTGCATGTGTCTTTATTTTTTTTATTTTTATTTATTTATTTTTTTTGAGACGGAGTCTCGCTCTGTCGCCCAGGCTGGAGTGCAGTGGTGCAATCTTGGCTCACTGCAAGCTCCACCTCCCGGGTTCACGCCATTCTCCTGCCTCAGCCTCC